TCAGGATCCTGAAAAGGCTCACTATGCCTCTTCCGAGTCTCCCAGTCCAAGGCTTTGACCTGTAATTTTTCCCATTCTGATTATTGTTGTGGTGCATCCACATTTTATAGATTGGGGTCTTTCCTGCATCAGCCATGACTGAACTGGTTTAAACTGGTTCAAAGCCTGATAAGAAAATGAAAGAAGATGAGAGAGGGAAGAAATATCTGTAGAAGTGGTGCTCAGATTCAGTTTATCTGTTTGTTTCTTTCATGTTAAGCAGATTATCCAGACTGGTGTTTTGCTCAGTTTCTTCCAACCTTAAACAATGATTAATGTGTTTTCAGACCTAGGCTTTCTGAGTAATTTCCTTGTTCCAGATTAGGTTTAGTCATGGATTGGAACAAATTAAGAGGGAAGGGGGGGAAAAAAGGATAGCTTATTATTTATCTTGATTCTAAAATTTTGGAAGTAATCAGTATCTTTAAGGGTCACCATTCTATTTCAACTCCTTGAATTTAGAGACTAAGTGCACTCTAATATCCTGCATTGTTTTTTACTTTTATTGTGGTGCAAATAAACACCTCAAGATATTCAACAGCATCACTTCCACATTTACAGCTCAGGGACATTGATGCCATTTTTCATGTTGTACCATCATTATTCTATCCTTTTCCAAAATAATCTACCACCTATTAGCATAAACTCAATGCCACCCAACAAAAGCTTCCCCTTCCTCCTCCCTCCTACCCCTGGTAACCTTTCATTCATTCATATATGTATATTTATTCATGCTTGGTAAGGTGGAGGGTCAACAAAAGAGGGGAAGGCCTTTGACGAGGTGGATTGATATGGTGGCAGCGACAATGGGCTCAAGTATAGCAAGGATCATGGAGGTGGCATGGGATCGGGCAGTGTTTTGTTCTGCTGTGCATGGGGTCGCTATGAGTCGGAAGCGACTCGACAGCACCTAACAACAACAACATTCATTCATTCATTTATTCATTTATTAATTATATCTAGAAATTTTCCCTTCCTTCCTCTCCCATCCCTTGTAACCAACAAAGAATGTTTCCTCCTGTGTATAAACCTTTCCTTGACTTTTTGCAATAGTGAACTAATGCAATATTCGTCCTTCTGTGACTTATTTCACTCAGCATAATGTCGT